CTTTGGGGGTAGGCCATGGCAGCAGCGCGGCAGGCACGCGATCGGGGAGCGGCGTGAAACAGCCCACGGGCGGGAGCGCACGTGCACCCCTGGGCGCAGCTCAATGGCCGGCGCGACCCCCACGCACGAGCGCGGAAACTCCGATGATGGCCCCTGCAGCCCGGCCTCCCTCATTCACCCAAGCATGTCCGCGGCCTTACCTTGCGGCTCCCCAGGGGGAGGGTCTCAAAATCAGGCGCCCCCACGACTACGACCCCGCGGCGGCCCGCGCGCTGGGCGGCGGCGAGCCGTCGCCGCACCTGGGCCTCGCGCTGGCGCCCGCGGTGGCGGCGCTGCTGGAGCCCTGCGCGCCGCGCGTCAGCGTGGGCGGCCTGCCGCGGCACCTCACGCAGGACGAGGTGGGGGCGCGTTTGGGAATGTGTGGGGTTCATGGGACAGGTGCCTGCTCGACTTCCATGGTCCCGTGGGGTGATCTCCAGGCTGGGGGTCTGTCAGACGTGTCAGAGCCTGGCATGGAACACGGGAGGGCGCCGCCACTGTGTCGAGGCGAGCTGTGGCACGCGACGCGGCTCGCGGGGGTCCCGCTGCTGGCGGCTTCGTTTGAGTGCAGCCTGCGGCGACGCGCGCCATGTGGGTGACGCGCCCCTTGAAACGCAGGAGTCGTCGTTTCTGTCAGCTGGTCCCCCATCCTCATCCTCTCTTCTCGTCCTGACGTTTCTCGCCCCTCTGCGTATTGCACCCCCCAGCTCCGGAAGCTGCTTGGCGCGTTCGGCACGCTGCGCGCGCTGTCGTTTGCCGCCGACAGCGGGGCGGCCACCGTCGAGTTCGCCACGCCCGCGGAGACCGAGGCGGCGGCGGCGGGGCTGGCCTCGATGGCGCTGGCGGGGCAGCAGCTGTCGGTTGTGCGGCAGGGGCCGCTGCAGAACGGGCTCGCGCTGCAGCAGCTGATCCAGCAGCAGCAGGCGGCGCTTGTCGCGCGGCTGACGGGGCGGCCGCCGCCGCCGCCGGTGTCGCTGGTGGGCGCGCTCGAGGCGGCCGGCATGGTGGCGCCGCCGGCCGTCGCCGCGGCGGCCGGGGGCGCGGCGGCGGCGGCGGTTCCGGCGGTGCCGCGCTCGCCGCCGCCAGCGGTCACACAGCAGCAGCAGCAGCAGCAGCAGCAGCAGCAGCAGGAGCAGCAGCAGCACGGCCAGCCACTCCAGGCAAAGTCAGCCGCGGCGCCGGCGCCGCAGCCCGCGTCGCCGGCCCCACCTCCCTCGCAGCCCGGCGCCCCTTTGGCGACGGCTGCGGCGCCTCCGACGGCCCCTGTGGCGCCCGCGGCACCGCCCTCCCTGTGCGTGGTGCGGCTGGAGGGCATGGTGACTCGTGATGAGCTGGCGGAAGATGATGACTACGAGGACCTGGTGGCTGACATCACCGCTGAGGTGGCAAAGTACGGCCGGCTGGCGCGCGTTGTCGTGCCGCGGCCGCGCCCAGCAGGGGGGCCCGGGGCCGCGGGGCTTGAGGACCCGCCCGGGGTCGGGCTGGTGTTTTTGCAGTATGAGGACGCGGCTGGCGCTGAGAACGCGCGCGTCGCCCTGCACGGGCGGGAGTTTGGGGAGGGGCGCATCGCCGCCTCGCTCGTGAACGCCGGCGCGCTCGACGCCCTTGGGGCCGCGTGTCCCTAGGCAGCAGCCTCGGACCCGGCCGGGACCTTCCCGAGGCGGTCGCAGCGCTTGATTCTGTAATTCACCCTGGTGGCTGGGGCTAGACGGCGCTGCTGATAAAGCCTTGGCGCGGCAGGCTGGGCCGCGGGCGGGCAGCAGCGGCGGCCGCGGGACTGCACAGTCTGATGCCAGACCAGACCGTGGCAAAAGGTGCAGCTCTCTTTTCGGCCTGCTGTCTAGTGCAAGCCACCGTAACGCTTGGCCCCTTCCAAACCAAACGTCAGTGTTGCTACAACGCAACCTGGGGCTTGCGGCAGCAAAAGGTCAATCCACCCCTGCCTTGCCCCGATCTGTCGCTGTGCTCGGTGAGGTGCTGGAGAGGCCAAGGGAGGGGGGCCGAGCGCTGAGCAGCATCACAACGCAGCGAGGCTGGTGGCAGCGGCAAACAGCTCGGCGCAACGCCGCAGCGCTCGGCGGGCATTGCGCCTCACAAAGGGGCGGTGTGCCAGCGGTGGGTGCACCGAAGGCCTGTGACGCGTAGGAAAGCACTCGCGTGAATGCGAGCGCTGAGACGTGGGCAGGGGCACCCCGCGCCCTGTGTGCGTATCGCTGCTTGCCACAGGGCAGCCCCTCGACAGGCCAGTCGGAAAACGAGTAGTCGTCCCACGTTGCTTGTCTCAGAAATGTTGTTGTACAGAACAAGCAGCTGCACTTCTGCATAGCGCATCAGGGTGCCTGCCTGGCCGGGTTGGCGCACTTAAGTAAACCCTGCTGCCCCTGATGTCCCTGCGTATGCCGGACCATATGCACATTTCTGCAGTTGCCGCGGCAGCCGCGGCAGCAGATCTACTGTTATGAAGCCTTGCTGTGCATCTGTCCTGTTCCAAAGCTAGGCTTGTGCAGAACAGCTTTTATCAAATGGGGCTACTGCACCCTGAGTAACGCCGAACGCTCATGTAATCCTGCCGTGAGCCGTCACCTACAGGGGGGGCTCACACTGCAAACATTTGATTACCACCCACACTTATTGAGGACTTTACTGCTTCGCCGAACTTTTTCTATTGTGTTTTGCTTCAAAAGATAGATGAACCGACTCTCTGACATGCCACGCGACTGGCAAGGGGCGATCCGGTATTAGTGTGTTGTCCCTGGTAGGGTAGGGGTTTCAGCATTAGCGTAGTGAACGCTTGGCTTGTATGCGTGCATCCCATAGCCGCGTCTTTTCTGGGTACGGCTGGATCCGGCGGATCTCACGTTTCACACAACACGCCGAGCAGTTACAATCAAACGGCGCAGTAGGCACCTGCGTGAGCAAGGTGGGAACATACTTCGATGGGGTATGGAGTATGGCGCTACGGGCATGTGGCAGCGGCCCAGCAGACGACTGCGTATCGTGAAAATCCCCTCTCCTCAATTACACCCTTGGGCTCAACCGCACCGAGACGAGCCCATCTGCTTTCAACCCCCTCAGAGCGCCCAACGCACTTTTAAGGACCTGCTGCGAACCTGAACGCGGCTGCATGTGCCCGCAGCAGCACCGAATCGCAGCGGCTGCGACAGGCTGTGACACCTCAGGCTGTGACACCCCCGCATCGGGTGTGCACAGCCACGCACCCGGCGAGGCCATGGGCTTTGGTGGGCCCCTCATCATCCCATTCAGCGTCAGCAGCAGCGCAGGCAGGAGCATCACGGGCGGCAGCCCGGCGCCGCCTTACGCCTGTGCGTCGGACGGCGGCGGCGTGGGGCCTCGCGACGCGCCCCTGCCGGGCGCGTTTGACGCGTCAGCCCTGACGACCGCCGGCGCGCAGCAGCTGCGGCAGCTGCAAGCAGCCGCCGGCGCCGGCCCAGATCTCATAGCTGCCGCCCAGCGCGGCGACGTGCGGCTCGCACCCGCGGGCGCTGGCACGCCCCGCGGCGGCGGCTCGGCGGCCGTCGGCGGCGCGTGCATCCAGAAGGCGCCGGCTTGCCCGGGGTCGGCCTGTCCCACGCGCGGCGCCGGCATCCTGAGCTTTGAACCCGGCAGCGTCGACCTGAGCGGGGGCCACCTGCAGCTGTACGCCGCCACAGCACACCCACACCAACCCCACCACGGGCTAGCACAGGGCTGGGCCGAGGGCGAGAGTGAGGGGGTCGCGCCGATGGCACCCCTTCCCCGCGCGACCGGCGGCGCCGCCAGGTTGGGCGAGGCGCCGCCAGCGGGGGCCGGGTCGGGTGAAGCCGGGCAGCGTGCAGCGCCGGCGCTGGCTGTTGAACTTGGGGTGAGCATGGCGTCCCTGGAGCGGCTTTTCAGGGCGGACGGCGCCGCTGGCTGCGACCAGCCTGTGTGGATGGCGGTCAACCTGCAGGTTTGCAGAGCTGGGGTTGGTTGCCGGTCGGGTGACGTCAGCAACCGTCACGACCGCCTCGTGGCGCCGGATTGGGTGTCATGGGGGCAGTGCCAGCCTGTTGGGCCGCAAGGCGGCTCGCAGCCTTGCGTGCCTGATGGCTGTGTTTGGCGTGGAGTGCATCGCACCGGTGTTGGTTCTCCGGCCACTGTCTCCTGAGCAGCGCAGGGCCGCACATGTGCATCTTTGATGATTCACCACGGGCCGCCTAGCAAAGCAACCGCCCAGCAACCAGCGAAACCTGCGTGCGCCGGCGCCTGACCAGCTCCCCCGCCGCCGAACCGCCGCGCCGGTTCGAACCGCATGCGGCCACCCCAGGGCAAGATCAAGGGCAGCTACACCGCCGACAAGATGATCGAGTTCTGCAGGCGGGGCACCCTCAGCGCGAACCAGCTGGTGCTGGGCATCGATAAGGACCTGCCCTATGCACTGCGCCAGGTCAGCATCCGAGGGCGCGGCCGCCGCCCTTCCACTCCCCAGCCACGCGGGGGTGCTTGCGGTGGGCCCAAAAGCACCCTGCGCCGCAGCCTGGGGCGAGCGTCCGCCTCCTGGGGGACACCATCAGCACTCCGCCAGTGTTGCTGGCATGAGGCGCCTTGAATGCCACAACAGGCCCTGGTTTCAGTCTCCCCCCCCCCCCGCCTGTCACCCCAGGATATGAGATACTACCGGCCCCTGGGCTTCCTGGCTGCCAGCATCCACGAGGGTGGCGCCTACAT